GCCGGGGCACATGTAAATGCCCCCAAAAAGCAGATTTTGGGGTTCGGTGCAAGTGCAAGTGCACTAAAATGTAGATTTTTTGGGACAGGTTTTAAGTGCAATAAAATAGTGACTTTTGGGATGAGTGTGAGTGAAAAAAACAGATTTTTGGGGCATCTGTGAGTGCAAAAAACAGGCTTTTGGGGTGAATGCAGTAAAACTCTTATTTTGTGGACGAGTACAAAGGCAAAAACCACAGATTTTTGGGGGATGCGTGTGAGTCCGAGTGCAATAAAATGTTGGCTTTTGGGACATGTGCAAGCACAATAAACCTCAGAATTTTGGGCCATGGGCAAACACAAGTGCAATTTAAAAAAATCAGAGAATTTGATTTTTTTCTTACCTGCTGCAGCTAAAACACCATGGACGGCGGCCCGGGCTGGGGAAAAGCTGATGTGCTGCTGCATGTCTGGACCATCGTGTTATGGGGTGAGTTCAAACAGGGTGGAGAAATGCATCATAACCTGTAAAATTCCCCCCCCCCCCAAATGTGAATTGCCTCAAAATAAGATTTTTCCAGTCCAAGAGGCCACATTTCTCACCCCCATCCCGTGCAATGATTGAGAAGAGACAAAATTCCCTCCCGTGACATGTAGAGGGGAAACCAAGAGGCAAAGACCCCACCCAAGACATATTTTGGGGGGATTGGTTGAAAATAGGGCAATTTTCCCCCTGGTTGCAACCCAGCACCAGCCATGGTCCTTCAGCATCATCTCTGAGTGTGGCTGTCCACATTTCCACCCCCGTGGCCTTTTGGAGGTGAAAGGGGACTCCTTAAAAATCCCAATTGCTCCCTTCGAATTCCTCCATCCCGCACGAAACCCACCCAAAAAGCTCATCTTTTGCCCAGGGAATTAATTGCTATTTCTTCAAATTGCTATTTCTTCCAACTGATAGTCCTTTAAATCGATATTCCTTCAAAACAATTTTTTCAATTCAATATTTGTTCAAATCGACAGGCTTTATTTCTCCAACTTGATAACCCATCAAATCACTAGTCCATCAAATCACAAGTCCGTCAAATCACTACTCCTTATCCACCACAACTAGATCAGGTGCCACCTCAAGCCCAACTTGAGTCTTGGTCCCCAGCTAGGATTGCCAAATCTGACTTTGGGGATGATGAAGGCACTGATGGCAAATTCTCCTCTTCCTCGGGCTTTTCTAGGTGTCTTTTACTTGCTCAGTGTCACTGCGTCAGCTCCGCATCACCTGGGGGAAGACTTTGTGGTGGCCTTCATGCAAAACGGTTTGCAGCAGACCCTCAACAGCGACTTCAAGCTGCTCATCACAGGTTATTCGCCCTTCACGTCCGTAACCATCTCCATGAAGAAGCCAGGCTTGAGGATGACGGTGCAGGCAACCATGGGCCAAACCATCCTGGTGAAGATCCCACCCCAAGCAGAGATGGTGGGAAGTAAAACCTTCGACAACACTGTGGTGGTGAGGTCCAACAATGCCATCTCCTTGGTGATGGTCAATGAGAAACCCACCTCAATTGACTCAGCCGTGGTATACCCAGTGCACAGTTGGGGCACGGAGTACCACGTTGTGACGCCCAACGTGGGCACTGACCGCTATGGCGAGTTCGTGGTGGCCGCCTGGGATGAGCCCACCACAGTTGACGTGCACCTCAAAGCCACGGTGACCTACCAAGGCCGGTCTTACCCCCGGGGCTCAGTGCTCCCCATCAGACTGGAGCCCTTCCAAGCAGCCCAGCTCCAAAGCCCATCTGATATGTCTGGCACAAGGATCGTGGCGCAGAAACCCGTGGCCGTCTTCACCGGCCACACTTGCTTGGCCAGGTTCGCCCACTGCGACCATTTGGTGGAGCAGCTCCAGCCCGTTTCCAGCTGGGGCACTACCTTCATCGTGCCGCCGTTGCCTTTCGAGACTCAGTCTGATATCATCTACGTCTCCACCTCCCAGCCAACACGCGTGGAGTCTCAACATGGGGTGACCAAGACCGTTCGGGAGCTACGGCCCAGCCGGTCAACGCTCTATGGACTCCAAGCCTTAAATACCTTGTACCTCTCTGCCAACGCTGGCATCCAGGTAATTTTTTTTGCCGACGGAGGTAATAAAGATGCCATCTCTTATGACCCGTTTTTTATGACCATCCCAGATGTCTCCAGCTACTGCCACTCCTATAACATCTTTGCCCTGGACGGTTATGATAATTATGCCCTGCTGATAGCCAAAAGCTCGGAGACGTCTGGAATGATGCTCAACAAAATGCCGTTGAAAAACGTTGTGTGGAAGCCCGTCCCGGGCACTGATTACTCCTGGGCCGGGCAGAGTTTGGGCAGTCAATTCGCCGTCCACACGGTGGAGCACAAGACGTCCCCCTTTGGGTTGCTCAGCGTGGGGATCCGGGAGCAAAAAGCCTATGGGTCGGCGGCTGTTTGCGACAGTGGTGAGTGCCCCGTGGTCACATCCACCTCCCTTCACCCGCTTTTTGTTTCCCTCCTGCCCCCTCTCAAAAGCGTGGTTGCAATGCAAGGCAAAACCACACATTTTTAGAAGTCAAAGTTTAGTCCTCTGAGCTGGGTGTCTGTAACATCCCCTTTCCATCCCCACAGCTGATAAACACTGAGCTCACATCTAGAAAAGTATCTAAAATTAGCTGGTTTGAGCTGAAACTCAGCCTTTCTCTTGTAGCACAAGGATAGGCAGGTCTAAAAGCGGGTAATTCATCCAACATGGCTTTGAAGGTGATATTTCTTCTATAAATATATCATCTATAAATAATCTATAAATAAATCATCTATAATTAAGCAATCAATAAAAGGAGCTTCAAGCGATCAACCCAGATGTTCAAGTCTAAACTTAAGGTGGCTAAACCTACCTGGGATAAATCCCTGCTTTAATATAGTAGAGATCTGGAGGTGCTGGTTGACCGTCTACAGTGACGGTGATGCTTGCGCTGTCCCTGAGGCCACATCTGGCAGCAAAGTCATCCCCACAAATAATTGTGTGCGATTTCTTGCAGATCCCTGCCGGCTCGTGAAATGCCGCACGAAGGAGACGTGCAAGATGGAGAAGGGGGAGGCGGTGTGTGTGCACGACTACATGGGAACCTGTATGGGGTCGCAGTCCCTGCAATACCACACCTTCGACGGGATGACTGTGGACATCCGGGGTGGCTGCACCTACACCATTGCCAAGTATTGCGGCAACGAGCCCACCCTGGTGCCTTTTGTCGTGGAGGAGAGGAAGAGCGAAGGCAATTTTCAGGAGTGGTTGACCAACATCTACGTGTATGGCTACAACATCTCCATCCACAAGGGAGAGGGAGGCAAAATCCAGGTGGGTTTTTCCAGGCCGTGGCAGTGTTATTCTGGAGAAAGCCTTTTGTGCCAAGTGGAAGAGGATAAAACATTGTGGTGGGTGAGGTTGGCATCAAAAAATGAGGAGAACCACTGAAACACAGAGCATTGGGAAATTTTGCATTACAAGTCAAGACATGGCAAAGGAGAGGGTGCTTTGTACCTGACTCGAGGTGTCTTCAATTAAACCATGCTCACTTTTTGGTTAGCATCAAGAAAAAGGCAATTTTAAGGATGCACCTCTACCGCGAGGTTGGCTTTATCCATGAGCTCCACCAACCATGGAGATCTACCACAAAAAGGGAGTCTAGGTGAGACGTAAGTCTGTTTTGCAAGGTTAAATGAGGCTCCTCCCAGCCGTACAGTTCAGTGGTCTTAACATAAATGAGATTTTAAGCTCAGAAGTTGAAGGAGATGGTTCTCCAATGAGACATTGGGGTTTTGATCTTTTCCCGCTAAAACCTATTGCGTATCTACAGGGGCAAAACTGCTGGTTTCTGCTGATGATCGCTTCTTCCTGAAAGAAATTTCTCTTTTGGATTGTATCTATATGCTTTTTTGGGGTTGTGAACTCTTAGCAAAGCCACCATTCGATGAGATTTAATCCTTCTTCTTCTCCTCATTTCCCCCAAGGTCAACAACAAACTCACCAGCCTACCAGCCACCCTGGAAGCGGGGAAGATGCAGATCTCCCAAAATGAGGGCCGGACCATTCTGCAAACAGATTTTGGGCTACAGGTGACCTACGATGAAGACTGGGCCATAATGGTGGCGGTGCCCAGCAGCTACTTCGGGGCCACCTGTGGACTCTGTGGCAACTTCAACGAGGACACGGAGGATGAGACGACGCTTTCCGATGGCACTCAGGCTGCCAGTGTGGAGGACTGGGCCGAAAGCTGGCGAGATCCCTCCTGCCAGGATGATTGTGGAGGCCAGGAGACGCTGCAGGACACAGCAGGCTGTGGTGAGCACATATGGAGGGTCCCCAAGCATTCTGGGGAGAAAGAAGGGGATCCACATGGGGATCTGGCCGTGGGTATCTGAGAGTTGCTGCCCAGCCCACCAAGTTGATGCTTGTAGGTGTCAACTTAACCGACATCTCCAGCATCAGGGAAGGGTTGCGTGGCTCTTTTCATGCCAAACCACCCCAAAATCCACCTTACCTGACTTCAGATGTCCATAACACACAGAATTATGTAAGGGGTTTCTTGAGGGCCATCCCCACAGGGTGTCTCATGGACTCTGAATCACTTGTAGGCATCAACTGAGCCAACACCTCCAGCGTAGCAACCTGATGTCCCTCTAAGGAAAATGCTTAGCTCATCCCTTGTGTTGCCCTTTTTTTTTTGAGATCTTCTTCTCAAATATCATCCCCACAGCTCAGAGATGTCCCAAAAACAGCCACTTCCAGGCCTGTGGGACGGCGTGCCCTGCCACCTGTGCCGACCCCAAAGCCCCCGCGTCCTGCAGCAAACCGTGCACGGCGAGCTGCCAGTGCAATGAGGGCTTCGTCCTCCACAATGGCACGTGCGTCCCAGTGGAGACCTGCAGTTGTTTCCACAACGGCCGCTCCTACAAGGTCCGGGAGGAGTTTTGGGAGGATGGGAGTAGGCCTGTGGGACGGCGTGCCCTGCCACCTGTGCCGACCCCAAAGCCCCCGCGTCCTGCAGCAAACCGTGCACGGCGAGCTGCCAGTGCAATGAGGGCTTCGTCCTCCACAATGGCACGTGCGTCCCAGTGGAGACCTGCAGTTGTTTCCACAACGGCCGCTCCTACAAGGTCCGGGAGGAGTTTTGGGAGGATGGGAGCTGCCAGAGCCGGTGCCGATGCGAGGTGGGGGGCAAGGCAGCTTGCAAGAAGGCTGGGTGCAAGGCCCATGAGAAATGCGTCACGGTCGACGGTGTCCCCAGCTGCCAGGCGAACAAGTACTTTACCTGCATTGGGACGGGTGACCCTCACTACACCACCTTCGACGGGCTGAGATACGACTTCCAAGGGACGTGCATCTACCAGTTCGCAGCGCTCTGCACCCAAGATCCCACACTGGTCCCCTTCACCGTCAAGGTGGAGAACAACAACCGGGGCAGCAAAGCCGTGTCCTTCACCAAAACTGTCACGTTGGAGGTCTACGGCAACGTCATCAGCATGAGCCAGGAGCACCCGCGCAAGGTGAAGGTAAGTGTCCGCCAAGGACCTCATGCAACCTGCATCTAAACTGCTTATTTGCTATGTTTTCCCCCGAATCGCATTTTTTTTCCTCATGCACGCCTCCATGGAAGCATCAATTTCTGTCTGCCGTCTCCAGAGGGAGCCCTGAGCAGCTAGTATGGATTTCAACACCTTATTTTTAAATGCTTAAAGAAGCTTATATTAAAAAAAGGAAAAAAACCCGTACAACTTGTTTATGGTGTGCTGGAAATGGGATTATTTTTGCTCTGGCAAACTAAGCAAGTGAAAAATATCCATGAATAATAGCAAAAATACTTCCACATCCAAAAGCATCCACTTTGCTTGACGTCTTCAGCTTCCTTTTTTTGCTCCCATGTGGCTTTCTGAGTTTTTATTTCCTTTCTCCCTGACAGCTGCAAACTGACTCAATTAATTTGGGAAAGGTTCAATTCCCGCCTTGTTTTAGCCAAAGTGTTGCACAAAAGGGTTAGCTACAACTTTTCCTTTATTTTTGTCTCTGAACCATAATATTTTCCACTTAAGATAGAACCCTATGTCTGGAAATCTTCCTCATGCGAAAGGTTTTTGCAGAACCACCCAAATTTCAAGCAATTTGCATTTTATCCGGAAATTCTCCCCATGCAAAGTATTTACCAAAAACGCCCCAAACTTGACTGATTTGAATTTGCCTGGAAATCCTCCCCGTGCAAAGGGTTTTGCAAAAACGTCCAGATCTCGAGCGGGTTGCATGAGCCATTTGCCACCCAGTGCCACCACTGACCCTCCACACCACCTTCCCCAGGTCAACGGTGCTTTCGTGGAGCTCCCGTTCACCCAGAAGGGCCAGTTCGAGCTCTACCACAGCGGCGTCCACGGCTTCGCCCGCACCGCCTTCGGCTTGCGGGTGAGCTTCGACTGGTACAGCTACGCCCGCGTCATCCTCCCCGACGCCTACGCTGGCGCCGTCTGCGGCCTCTGCGGCAACGCCAACCGCAATGCCAACGACGACTTCATCACCCGTGATGGCAAACAGGCTGTGGATGAAATCCAGCTGGCCGATAGCTGGAAGGTGGGAGATGTCCCCGGCTGCTCAGCCGGTTGTGTGGGGGATTGCCCGGTGTGCAATGAAGAGCAGAAACAGCCCTACCGCGGTGACAGCTATTGTGGGGTGATCGCCAGAGCTGGGGGACCCTTCCGGGCCTGCCACCACGCTGTCAACCCTGCACCCTTCCTCGAGGACTGTGCCTTTGACGCCTGCCACTACAAAGGCCACCGGGACACCTTGTGCAAAGCCATCGCCGCCTACGTGACGGAGTGCCAGAGCCATGGCGTCAGCGTGGAGCAGTGGAGGACGCCATCCTTCTGCGGTGAGCGGGGCCAGAAGGGGATTCCCCCCCCGCGCTTGGCCATAAACATAAGGTTTTGAGCCCAACCACCCACTCTTGGCTTTGCTTAGAGCCAATGGAAACACAAAATGCCTCCAAAATTTGGTTTATTTGCCCTGTTTCCAATACCTCCTTGCAACACAATCACTTTATTCTCTCCCTCTACAGCCCCGAGGCCAAACAATGAGTTTAGATGCAAATATGGATGTGGGGAAATTCCCTCCAACTCATTTCCAAGGCAAAATTCATTCCTTCCTTCATGCAACGGTGCAAAATAAATCCCCATTGCCCTCCAGATCCTTCCTTGATGCAAGGAAGGGGAATGCAAAAGAAATCCCCATCACCCTCCACGTATTTCATTAATGCAAGGAAGGGGAATGCAAAATAAATCCCCTTTGCCCTCCAGAGTGATATTAATGCTCCACTGCTGGAGACTTGCTTGCATTTCAACCCCCCAAAGCTTTGATGCAATGATGGAAATACTCACCCTGATGCTTCTGGCTGCAAATCCAAGTGGGGCTTCACATTTTCTCCTCTGCTTCTTGCAGGCCCCTCCTGCCCCCGTCATTCACACTATGAGCTCTGCGGGAGCAGCTGCCCGGCCACGTGTCGGGGCCCAGCCGTCCCTGCGGGCTGCGCATAG